CAAAAGCAACATGCAATCTGTAGAAATAATACTTTGTGTTTCAAAGCTGGTGTTGCAGCTGGATACCAGTGGCTTATACCCGAAATCTTAGCTACTCACGAATCTGAGATCTGAGGATCACAATTCTAAGCCAGTCAGTCTAGCCAGAAAAGTCAGTGAGGCTTTGATTTCCAATCAAACACAAAAAGCTAGAAGTGGAGCTGTGGCTCAAGTGGAAGCGTGCTAGCCGCGAGCACAATAGCTTAAGGACATAGCCCAGGGCTATAATCCTATCTACTCAGGTTGAGATCTGAGGATCTCTGTTCAAAGCTAGCTCAGGGAGGAAAGTCCATGAAACTCTTATCTCCAATTAAACACCACAAAACCGGAAGTGGCACTGTGGCTCAAGTGGTAGAGTGCTCACCTTAAGATGAAGAGCTCAGGGATAACGCCCAAGCCCAGAGTTCAAGCCCCAGGACTGGCAGGGAAAAAAAAGCAAAAAAAAAAAAAATCAATGCTGCAATGTTAGAGACTGAACCCAGGGCTTCATTATGAATTTCAAATTCAAATCTTTTCCTAGGCTAGCAAGTCCCACATCTTCTAGTCAACCACACAATGCAGCCAGCTCTCTGCTCTTGCTCAGCTATGAGTTTTATAGGCTAGGGCTATTAAGTGCATTTTTGTACCAGTCCAGGAGCTTGAACTCAGGACCTGGGCACTGTCCCTGAGCTTTTTATTCAAGGCTAACACTCTACTACTTTAGCTACACATCCACTCCAGCTTTTTGGCAGTTAATTGGAGATAAGAATCTCATGAACTTCCCTGCTTGAGCTGGCTTTGAACTGTGATCCTCAGATCTCAGCCTACTGAGTAGCTAGGTTTATAAGAATATGCCAATGGTGCCAGTCTTAAATGCAATTTTGAGCAATGCTATTTTCAAGATGAGAAGCATCTACATTAACTAAGCCCACTTACCACCCAAAGTAAATTATAACCACAAATCCTGATTTTACTTACCTTTATAGGGAGAAATAAGGTACAGATATAACAAACAGTTTTGTTCCCACACGCATTTACATTTGGCATAAGGTGATGAGATTACTTAATTTGGGCATTAATGGGATATTTAGATTTAATCTATTGGGTCCAGTTTTGGATTCAAAAGATCAGTATTTGGACAGGCAATTGAAAATGGTCCTAAAATTCTCAAAGGGTACTGTGTGACTCAGCTTTTTTTTGGGGGGGTGGGGTCTGGGCGCTGTCCCTCAGCTCTTCAGCTCAAGGCTAATGCTCTACCACTTGAGCCACAGTGCCACTTCCGGCTTTTTTCTTTTTGCTTATGTGGTGCTGAGGAATCGAACCCAGGGCCTCAGGCATGCAAGGCAAGCACTCTATCACTGAGCCACCTTCCCAGCCCCTGACTCAGCTTTTTAAAATATATATTCTATTGTAAAAATATTGTACAGAAGGGTTCCAGTTACATGAGTAAGGTAATGAGTACATTTCCTATCGAGCATTGTTACCCCCTCCTTTGTTTTACCCCACCATCCCTTCCCTCCCCACTTCCCCAACTTTTCCCCTCCCCCCTCCAAGTTGTAATGTTTGTTTTCAACATAGTGTCTTGTACATCTCATTGTTACAATGAGTCAACCTTTATCCTTATTTCAGCATTTTGTTATTTCCCTTCCTCTCTCAAATTAGAAAAATGTATATACAAGATTCAGGGTACCAGAATCAAATACAGTGAAAACAGGGGTTATCCCATGGGGGGAAGAACACACAAAAGAAACAAAAAAAATCACATAGGACATTAAAAACAACAACCACAAAATAAAAGCTCTTGTGTCTTATCTTGGGGTTCATTTCGCTTAACGTCATCTTTCTTTTGGTCCGTCATGGGCCTGAACTCTGGGCCTGGGCGCTGTCCCTCAGCTCTTCAGCTCAAGGCTAGCGCTCTACCACTTGAGCCACAACACCACTTCTGGCTTTTTCTGTTTATGTGGTGCTGAGGAATTGAACCCAGGGTCTCATGTATGCAAGGCAAGCACTCTACCACTGAGCCACCTTCCCAGCCCTTAGCATCATCTTATATCTTATCTCTTATATCATATCTACACAGTTTTTGACCCTTTCTGATTGTCTGGTAAGATTATGCTAGATGTATACTAGTTATTGCAGATAAGGGAAACGATGGGACCTGTGTATGTTTGGGTCTGGCTTACTTCACTTAATATAATTTTTTCCAAGTCTTTCCATTTCCTAACAAATCAGCCATTCTAACTGGGGTGAGGTGGAATCTCAATGTTATTTTGATTTGCATTTCTTTTATAGCTAGAGAAGTTGAGCATTTCTTCATGTGTCTATTGGCCATTCTGATTTCCTCTTCAGAGAAGTCTTTAGCCCACTTATTAATGGGGCAGTTGTTTCTTTGAGGATTTGTTGTTGGGGGATTTAATTTTTTGAGTTCTAAGTATATTTTAGTTATGAGACCCTTGTCTATCATATGGCTAGTGAAGATCGTCTCCCAATCCATGGGCTTTCTACTGATCTTGCTAGCTATTTTGACTCATCTTTTTTTCATTATGACAAAAGTACTTGAGATAGTTAGGTGACAGTGGCTTACGCTTATAATGCTACCTGCTCAGTAGGACAACATCTGAGGCTCTCAGTTTGAAGCTAGCTGGGGGAAGGAAAGTCTATGAGACTCTTATCTCAAATTAATCACAGAAAAATCCAGAAGTGATGCTATAGTTCAATGGTAGAGTGCTAGCCTTGAGCAAAAGGATCTCAGGGACAGTGCCCAGGCCCAGAGTTCAAGGCCCAGGACTGGCCAAAACAAAAGAAAATAAAAAAAAACACCTTCCAAGGAGCTAGGCTAGACTAGTTACCCTGTTGTGCAAAGAAAAATAATTTGCCTCAGCTAAGCTGCTACATCTTAGAGTCTTTTTTTGGTCTATCATGGGGCTTGACCTCTGGGCCTGGGCACTGTCCCTGAGCTCTTCAGCTCAAGGCTAGCGCTCTACTACTTGCGCCACAGTGCCACTTCTGGCTTTCTGGTCACTTATTGTAGATAAGAGTTTCATGGATTTTCCTGCCCTGGCTGGCTTTGAACTGTGATCCTCAGATCTCAGCCTCCTGAATAGCTAGGATTACAGGTATGAGACACGGGCACCTGGCCTATTTTGAGGGTTTTTTTTTGTTACTGCAGCTTATCCTTTACCCAAACAGGCTTCTCAGTGGTAGTTCATTCAACTATGCTGTACAAATGTACAAATTAGGAAGCCAATTCTTAATAAGTCTTTCTGCTTCCTGCATGTATTCTCAGCAACTCTGCATCTATTCTCATGCCACTCTTCACTGAAAATCCCTATTTAGTAAAATGAAAATTCTTTGATGATCACAAGCTTCAAGGTAGCCTAGGAAAGATAGGCAAAGACCCTGTCTCTTAAATAAGTAAAGAACACCTGGGTAAAGCTCACACTTGTAATCCTAGCAACTCAGGAAGCTGACATCTGAGGACTGAAGTTCAAAGCCAGCCGGGGCAGGAAAGTCAGTGAGACTTTCATTTCCAATAAACCACCAGAAAACTGGACATGGTGCTGTGGTTGAAGTGGTAGAGCACTCACCTTGAGTTCAAGAGCTAAGGAACAGTGCTCAGGCCCAGAGATCAAGCCCTGGACCTGCACAACCAAATAATAATGAGAAGAAGAAGAAGAAGAAGAAGAAGAAGAAGAAGAAGAAGAAGAAGAAGAAGAAGAAGAAGAAGAAGAAGAAGAAGAAGAA